GTCGGTCATTAGAGAAAAGCAGTCTTGAGCTGTGTTGCAGAAAGGATTGCTTCAGACTGTGCCTCAGCCTACACTGCTATGGAGATGCCCCTCTGACTGGGCAACCACCAGGAGGATTTACAGCCAGTTTGCTTTCAGTTTAAGATTTAAGGAAAGAACAGAAAAACATCACTTCCCTGAAGGGTGCTCTTTGGTGACAGCTTCTGAAATACCCAAGCTCTGACAAACAGATGCGATGGCAGTTCATGGATATGTTAGCAGTTGCAGCAGTGCTACAGCTCTCGCTCATCACATGGATATTAAGTGATGACAAGAAAGCCTTCAAAACTGCTCTTTTTCCTGTGTGGTTGTACCTTTCCAAACTGATCTTAGGAATTCCTGCAACCAAGTTTTTCACTTTATATGCCTCCACAATGGTGTTGTGGTCTGCAAAAAGGCAGGGAGGTAGTCCTCCACAGGTAACACGCCCAGAGAAACAGTCTGGGAGAGGCTGACTGCAGGCAAATGGTGAAAAGTGCTTGCACACCACGACTGACTCACTTTGGTTTTACTAACAGTTTTTTTTGAATGAACACTATGTACATGTAACAGCACTGTGTATCTATCTCAAGCATGAACACAAAGTCTGTTGCTCAAAGAACAAATATCACAATAGACTATTGGGATGGAAAAGTGAACACTAACCTTGCCAAACAGCCATGGGGGAAATATAAACAATACCCTCTTCCACCAATCATCATCAGCTGTGCTTAAACATTAGTGGTACGTTTCCCAAGCTCAGAGCTCCAGGGTGTGATCTGTAAGCAAGTCTTTGACCTGGCCTCACCCAAAATACAAGTTTTATCTGTTGTACAAAACATGAATGCATGCCTGGGTTTGAAATGCCAGAGTACATACAATTTGAGGCATACGCCTGAGACCTGCCTGTTGTAAAATGTCATCCAGAGCATGCCTGTAAGTATACAGAGGAATGCATAACTCTGGTTACATCCCAGGTGAATAGTTGGTCATGCAGCCGGAGAGATGCCAGGGCATATTGTGTTTGAACATTTCCATAAGAAGCGATAGAGGCTATGGGGTCTGAAAGGCTGCTGAAGTAGTCTATGGTTGCTGTCTCCCAGCTACCAATTCTTTCTCAGTGTTTCATTGAAGATGGTTCAGTGGTTCAAATGTAACTTAAGCCTTGGAACACCTTGGTTAAATTTCAGCTTTGCAGTAGATTTGTAGGTACCAGTTACCCCAGTGTAATGTCAGGATCAAAGTAAACATGCATAAAATGTTTTACTGGGCTATTTCCTCATCCAGACAAAAACATCCCCTCTAGAGGACAAAAAAACCCCACCCATACCCACAATATTTTTTATAATCCTGAAAGGTGTAGAATAGAATATTTAAATTTTTACTTTCAGTCTTAGAAGCTTTTTTTCAGTGCCCTACTTTTTCATGCTTTTTTTATATTGTTGTTGTGTGCAGCTAAGGGAGAAGAGTTTGTTTGTCTTCTTCAAGTTTATTTGGAGCTTTTTATTGACTAATGCCTTTTGTCACAAGTGACAGTGAAGTACTTGTTTGGTAATAGAGATCAATGGAGATGAAGGTGACATTTCAGAGCAGCATTTTAAAATTAATACACTGCTGTTTATCTGACCATGGAACCTAGGAATACTGGCTCACAGTCTAAGAGCATCATGACCCTGTAACTCCTCTCCCTGCTCTCCTCCTCCTCGTGAAACACACATTTACTTTTTATGTTGCTCTTCTCCAATCCAGCACATTTCAAATTTCTTCTTGCCTATTCTAGAAAACTTGTCAGTCTCTAGTCCTGTGAATTCTTTATCAATCAACAGACTTCTCACACTACCAGTGGCTTTTAGTGCCCGTCGGCTGAGGTAAGGCTTTATCAGCAACAGATCAGTGACTTGCTTCCCCAGGGTAACGGAACATTTTGATTTTGCAGGGAGAGAGCCTTTAGAGATGGGGAGGTCCAAGGTCATGAAAGGTGTCACTTCCTTTTATTTTGTACTGGGAAAAGTGTGGTGTTGGCACTGAGCAAATTAAGGAAGTGTGATTTCATGCTTAATCTCTCTCTACAAATTCAAATACAGATAAAGATACTTGTGGAAAGTGCTGAAGTGGTAGACAGTTAAGAACTTAAGGCCCCTTTTCACTCATAGAAGAGGTACAGTAGAAGCTAGTTGTTGTCCTACATTATATACTGAAGCAATCAGTTTCGAGTATATAGTATCATTCAATTCCCAAACACATTTAGGATTTAATCCATATCTTCTTTGCTAAGAAATTGAGGAAGGGTGGCAGTTTTCAACTCTGCAGCGATCTGAGACCACTGTATACTCAAATCTTTCAAAGCAGCTGCTAAATTAAAGCACTACCAATGTTGACTGGATTTGAGTAAATGTTTACTACCTTGCATCCAATTACTCCTCTCTCGCTACACATAAGCTTTACCATCTGTGTCCAGAAGTACTGGCTTTCATGGTCTGTTTGCTTGACATCCAGCACTTAATTCTGGAATAAGAAGGTCAATTCAGATAATGCATTATGCAATTACATATAAACCATGATCTCAGTAACTTCTGTACATAAATGAAATGAAAACATATTAATAACTTACGATACACTCTGCCAGGTTGTCTTGCATGATGTCATGGCAATGAGTTTAGTACAGACCAAGCAAAACAAAAGACAGATTGCTTTCCCAGAATTTGCTTGGATAATGGAGAAAAATCCACCCTGATCTAAGCTAGCTCCAGCAGTTTCTCAGAAATATTAATGTTTCAAGCTCTCATGCCTTTAATAAAGTAAAATATAATTTATTTCAATGAAAAACAAATTCTCCATTTCTCCTCTTCTGGCATTTGGTGCAGCTGATAGCTACAGTAGTAGTTTCAAGCAGAGCATGCTGAGCTAATTATGTTTCTTGATTTCTTGATTGCTAATGTGGTATTTGAGAATCAGTTATTCTTAAATGTCAGTTTGAGAATCATCCTTAGCAGTCTGAATCCCCTAAATGAAGGTCTTGTTTTACCAATATTCCCAGTAAAGAATTACTCTCTCTACTGCTTGTCTGGCAAGTGAGACAAATAACAATTTCCAAAGGCTGTATTTTTTCTGCACCACATTCAATTGGTGGGCGCATGGAGACATAGAAACATTTTCATTAATGCTTCATTATTAATCGGTGAAAGATGGATGCAGCACTTGAGGGAACTACTGAATGGTGAATTCCCTAAACAATTTACTGTAGCTTCCTTCAAAGAAGCAGCTCTTTGAAACAATGGACAGCCTTATTAGTGTGACTATTGCAACAGCACAATGACAATGAGCTCTTCTTTTAATGTGCTTGTTATCCTGATAACTGTAAAATATTTGGTAAGGAAATGCAAATAATTGAGCTTTTTTTTTGTGGTTTTTTTTTGTTTGTTTGTTTTTGTGGGGTTTTGTTGGTTTTTTTTTCTTCCTCAATTTTGCTAAGGTTCTCTTGGCACAGTATTCATAAAATTTTTGGATGATGCATCGCATAAATATTACCGTCATATTTTTAGTAAGTTTCCTCTTAATATTCTGTTTGTTAAAATACTTCATCTGTTCTTTGGTTTTATATGTATGTTTCAGTATTGCAACACAATAGTAATTAAGCCTGGGTTTCAACTTAAACAGAGACGTTTCCAGACATCCTGCAGTGAGGGTCTACCATGAGGAATCCTCCCCCTTGGAGGAGGAAAGCCTCACTGACTGCTGTTCAGAAAACCAGCAGCTTTTATTTCTAAACTTGCCCTAGGCTTGCAGCTGAGAATTGTGCAAGGTCTCAAATAACAATAGCAATGACTCTGAGGTACAGAGCCATATCTGTATGGCAAAAGGGGAGGGAGTGAAAATGAGTCCCCGATTGCTGTCATGAAAGTACATGAATAAAGTTTTGAACAGAAATCTGTATGTGTAACTTGTTTTCCAGTCTTTGCTATAAATCTGCCTATTTGGGAGTCTGTAAGGATTGGTCATGGGAATAGTGAAAGAATTCAATTACTCTTGTAGGCAGAACTCTTCATTTTTACAAACTTTTCAGAAAATACCTTGATTACTTACAGAAATCTTTTCTCACTGCAAGGAAAGAGCCTTTGTGCTACCACCAGCAGTAATAGAGATGATGGGGGAAGCAGAGACTTATGCAGGAAACAGGCCATACTTCTTTGCTGCCTTAGTTGCATTGGCACCTCTAGGCAATAACAGATTGATGGGATGTGACAGATGGAGCTGTCATAAAACAGTAAACCACAGGGGTATTACTCCTTGTGGTCCTGATGTACACCAAATCCCCCTTCTCTGCCCATCAGTTAACCAGCTAGCAGCATAGCTCTGCAGTCTGGAATACAGTCACAGTCTGCCTGGGCCAGACAGGGTGAGCTCTGCCTTTTTGCAGGAGATCATGGCCTGAGTTTAGGGTTATCCTGGCATCACAAGTGAAGGTGATGGCCAAAGTAGCTCTTCAACATCTCGTGCACATTACTGGATGCTGAAGACAGAAGAATCTACTCTTCAGTCTCAGTTTATCCCAATGCAGCTTCCTGAAACTTTAGCTTGTCTCTTGGTTAAGCTATGTTTCTCAAACACTGCTGTTTGCTCCTCTTGTGTGTCTCTAGTTGGGTGCTACCTGACTTGCTTTATTTCTTCTCAGCTGATTCTTGTAAGCATCTTGGTTTCCTTGGGAGGATTTTTTCATACTGAGATTTGACATGGGGGAAGTATCCCATTATCCTGTTGCTCAGTCAAGTAATGTTCAGGCATGAAATGCCCACTTCTGCAGATCTGTAACCATTTTTATCTCTTTGGATGAAAATATTTGGGAGTGGAGAAACTGAGGAATGCAGTTAAATTGAAAATATGGCAGTCTATTCTCATCCAACATGGTATAAAATTGACTGAACGAAAATAAAATAGCACATCTTTTTGCTTAGTTTTGTCTCTCATAGGATTTACTTTCTCAGCAATGAAAATCAAATCAGACACATCCATGAGACCATTTACTGCTTTCAGCTCAAATGGGAAGGACAGCAGGTAAGAACTGGTATATTTATTTTCTGTTTAATTCTCAGGAGCAAGTTACAAACCTGGGACTTATCATGACTGACATAGCAAGTCTTTAGATAATTACATGGAAAACCCTTTTATTGAAACATCTGTGTTAAAATGTGCATGCTAAACAGAATTTTAATAGGCTGTGAGTCTAACTCTCTAAGCTTTAATTTGGTAGCAGCGAAACTTAAAGCATTTTCAGCATTATTTCAAAAACACTTTAAACAAATCTCATTACAGGTCAAGAGTTTTTGGAGAGACATTATCTTGCTTTCCCATCAAAGCAAATGTTTGACAAAACTCTTGTTATGACATAAAGCATATGCACAGTTTCAAACTATGATGTCTGTGAGTCCTCTTTAGTTTCACCCTACCCCTCCAGTTCCCTCTTCCCCTTTCTGCCAGGTCATCAACTCTTTCCTTTCACTCTAGTTCCTCTAGCATATCTTATTTATTTCCCCTGGCTGAAGATGGATCAAGCCTCCATGTAGTTATTTTGATGCTTCACCAAGCATTACCCTTCCAGGTATCTTAGTCAGCTAAGTTGCAGCCTGCAGACTTTTGGTCTTTTCCCAGGCCTGTATCCCAAGAAGTCCTGGTCTCATAGACTATTCTGACATTAGCAAATGAGTACAGCTCAAAGCACCAAATCTGCAAAGGACAGCAGTTGGTATACAGCTGCTGGATGACATCCAGACACTACATGTTTTAGAAGATTTTGCTTTGGGCAAGTTCTAGTCTGGTCCTGTGGTGACCAGCTGAAGCACACCTTTCAGTTTAAAGCAAACATAGGTGCCCCACGTCATTCCCGGCTTTGCACTTAAGTATCTGTTCTTTCCATTATCCTTTCATCTGGTCAAGGGGGCTTTTTCTATTTCCCAGGTCCTGTTTATTTGCACTTAATGAGTGTATCCCTTCCTGATGTGAACTTTCCTGGCTTAATCTTTCTTCTCCCCACTGCCTGAATTGCCACAGGAAGAGAAGGATATGCCCTTCTAGCTTGACACTTGTCAGGAAAGTCCTCAAACCTCATGAATACAGGGAAAAAGGTATAAAATGTTTACATATGGCAAGAAGAGTCAAGGATCGTTGGGAACTGTGCCTTGTGTGAAAGTCACAGCGTCATCATTCTTTATGGGTTACAGCCATATTCAGTTATTTTGCTTTTCTGAACAATTGTTGAAATCTTTTGATGTATGCCATATAACAATTTTGTTCTTATTTCTTTGTCTTTAGTTTCCTAACCACATATTGTAAATTTGTGAAACAAAGCTTTCAAACCTCGAAACAAAATTTCTTCCTTTTCTTTGGTTCTGCTTGTGGGAATGGAAGATTTATATGACTCAAAGAAACATATTCTGCAACAACCATTAAATAAAACTCACAAAGTGGCATCACTGTGTAAAACATATACACATTACATTTAGTGCATTAGCCAATATCCAAAGAAAACCGAGGGACAAAAAAATAGGCATTTTTTGATGAAATCTACTTCTAAATAATACCTTTCATATGAAGAAAAAATTTTCTGAATCATCACTTTCATACAGAGATGCAACAGGAGGCAATTATAAAAACATGTAAGTTAAAATAACCTCTAGCTTTCCACGCATAACAGAAACCAATTAGAAGTATTAAAACTTATTAGGCCAATACTCGCCATGAGACAATGACAATCAAAATAGTCATAGACAAGAAAAACCATGTATCATCTTCTTATGAGTAAGATTTTTTAAATCTGTATTGATTTTCTGTAGTTAAATTTTCTTTGTGGCCAAAGAGGCAATGAGAAATAAAAAACAGACTTGATCCTTGTCTCAAGGAGTCTCCAACTGTAAGTGCTAGGTCTTACATTGGCTTACACACATAAATAAATAAAATATCAGGTTGAATTGTTTGCTGTGTAAAAGAGTTATTCCTCCTGGGGTGAATTCTTTGGGAGAGGAATGATGCACTGGATGCACCTTGCAGGGGTCATGCACAGCCCAGCAGTACAGCTGCTCCCCTGCCCATGGCCACCACCTGAAAGAAGGAGAGAGGAATGTGTGCCTAATGCTGTCTTTCCTAATGCAGATGAACTGCCACCTTTACTCAATTTTAATGCTATTCAGACTAAGTTACCTTTTCCAGTGTCCCCTCCCCTGCTCTCATGTTTCTAGTTTCAGCATCTCAGACACCAAATGGTCTGTTGAAAGAAATCATGAAGTCTAGTCTACTGCTGCTTGTGCATTGCCTTGTGGATGGTCGTAGGGACCACGTTTGCCATAGCCATCATCATCTGAAACCAAAATCTTTCAGGGTTATGTAATGTCTCAGTGCTGCTTCTTTGTTCAACAAAGCCTAAAAAAATTAAAAAAAGTTGTCCTTATGTATCTATTATAAATGTTGTCCCTCAACAATTTTCCAGGACAAAATAAAATCAGTTGTGCCTTGGTAATTTACTCCCATGAAGTTTTCATCAAGAACTGTTAAGAATATGTGAAATGGGTATGGAAAGGTGCAGTGGTCCAAGCTGCTTGTCCCCGTGGTATCCCTGTTTGGCCCAGGCTGTCAGCAGATGTTTTCCTCTGCATGCTCATACAGTATAAATCAAACAGGACTTGGGTCTAAAGTACCTTTATTAGTGTTAAATTGGATCATTTAAACTGTTAGCCTAAGATACTTAATTTGGCATTTATGTTTTCCTAAGATAATGGGTTTGGGTAAATTTGTTTCATTTCATCCTGTACCCAGCTGTCTGTAATTTTACTATCAATTTCTATTACATCAATTTCTATACTTTTATGGTGACTTAAATAAATATTCCTAAATTATGGAGATTTTTATAAAAGCCAAACAAGCAATGGCATTAACCACAGCCAGTCAAAAATAATCCTATTAATTTCCAATCAAATTGCCACATGAAAAATGTGCAAACGCACAAAACTTAACCATTTTACTGCAAACAGGTAGATCATGTACTGAATATTTTTCTTCATCTATTGCTATATCATATCAGCAGAGCTGTCAACAGCCAGTGGATAGTGATGCAATATGCTCTGGTCTGAGGTCCACTTTGAGGACACTGATGGTTTTTGACATCAGCAACTACCTGCATAAATACACATTCATATTTGCACTGCTTGGCTCTGGACGTAGGGATGGCTTCTCCAAAGACCTCAAAGACCAATGAAATATGAACTGGTTTTTTTTTCTGCTGTTTATTTACCTCAATGGACAAATGTTTGTCTACTTTTCCACTTTGCATCACTTTAAAAAATACAAGTCTTAGATTGATCAAGCTATACCTGCTCTTCTGAAGACTCTTGTAAATCTATTGGATTAAGAAATTGAATCAGTCCAAAGAAATTCCTTATGGAGATGTCTATTAATAGCTTTGCATATTTATCAAAGCAGGATAACTCTTAAAGCCTCAGAAATATTGATGAGCTGAAGAGTTGAAAGAAAAGTTGGTTGGTTGGTAATTTCTGCTTTGTAGGGTTTTTTTAAAGGCTTACTTCATTCTCTGCCTGAGTTCTGGCTGATTAACCTTGGATCATGGGAGCTGCACCATACAAAAGCTAGATTCAACTGGTGTCTGTCAAAGCCTCTGAATTATACGGTCCCCTACAAATTTGGTGAGTTTTGTTTCTTTAAGGCTGTCTTAAGGCTTAACATTTCTTAGCATAATTGGGAAGAATCGCAGCTGGTATTCAAAACGGAGCAATTATCAATCCAATCCCCTAAATCCTTGGATAATAGCTCAGTGCATCAAGTGATCTTGGTCTCTGGGTGAAAAATGTGAGATAATTAGCCTCGAGAGAGGTGTGTCTGGAAAATGATCCAAATGGTCTAAATTCCCAACCTCAGCAGCTAGTGCCTCTTTCGACTAGGAGCCCACTCATGGGTAGTTCACAATTTAGATCTGTGAAAAGCCCCTAGATCTAAATCTGGATGTGTGGGCTTCTCACATCCTTCCCCTCCCTCACAGTGAATCCTGCTCATGCCTTTGCCCCAGGGCACACTCCTGCAGAAGCAGCTTATATGGAGGGGTGAAAGACAGATTTCAGGCAGCTGTTCCTCTTCTTTTTAGCTTTTTTCTACTCTGTTCCTAGAAATAAGCAGTTCAGCCCCGAGTTTTATCAGGACTGTCTACATTGCCAACATCTCTGAAAAAACACAGGAGAGGAGAACATATGTACCAAAATAAGTATATTGGGGAAGGGAACAAGAAAATTGCCAGCAAGAAAATAGCTGTACAAGGGAGATGGAGGAAGAGGAATGAGAGAGTGAGAGAAGTTAAAAGCAGACATAAAGTATAAAGGAAAAAAAAAAAAAGAAAAGAGGGAAAAGCAGAAAAAAGGAAAATGGAAGCGTATGCCAGGGAGGGGTATAAGCCACCCTGAAATTTTTTTATTACATTTCTAAGGGACTTCAGCAGAGAAAACCCATGGGAAATACTGACTCAGGACTCTTGTCTTTCCCTAAGCTGTTTATGACATAGAGTATCAATGCCCAGAATGATACAAAACATTCTTGTTTTGTAACAGGATTATATTTCTCTTTTCTTTGCATTATACCTCTATCTTATATGTCTTCTATTATTATTCTTTTTGGTAAGTACTGTTATTTGAAGACACTGCTAAGTTTTCCTTATGAATGTGATTTTTTTCTTCTGATTCCTATTAGGTATGCCAAAGTGTGGCTACTGTTATTAGTGAGGAAATGTGGCAATTGGTTAACTGCTAGCAGTAAACAGCAAAATCTGCTTGAGAGTTGTGCATGCAGAATGGACATACAAGGCTTCTAAAACATCTCTCTAGGGTGGGAGTAACAAGGTATACATCATAGTTTCAATATATTTAAGTAGACAAGAACAGCACAGTACTTTCAAGGCACAATACCATCCATTTAAAGTATACCAACCAGCCTGTTAAATAAATCCTTTCTTTTAGTACACAGAGCTAAATATACAAAATATACTAAATCCACAAAACCCCTTCTCTTTTCACAACCTATAAATCATGTAATATCTCTGCATTATATAGCTTCCGTCATTCACACAATCATGTTTTGGAGTCTAGCCTCAGCTCAATCATTATCCAGCATCTTTCTTATCTTTCAATGTGCTGGAAAAAACCCACACACTTAAATTCTGAAATGATTTTATCCATAGAGGAATGAGTAGCTCCAAGAAATGTGGCTTTCCTGGCCATTCTTCTTGCATTTAACCTATACAGTTCTTCATTTTCTGGAGGATATAAAATAATTGTTTTCCTTACCGCAGATATAAGTCAACAATAAAACCAAAAGTGCTTTGTCGGTTCAGCTGGGAAAACCTTGGCACTCAGTGTAGGCTACACATAATCACTGAGGTCACCTTCTGTCTCCATCCTCTGCTGATGTGTTTCGAAGATGTTATAGCACGATGGCTGAGCCTGTGCCTTTGCCTGCTGGGCTGCTGTGCCTGATTGCCAAGGCAGAAAGCTCTCCCAGGTTGCCCAGTAGCAGTAAGCCCTGCTGATAACATCTCCTCAGCGCACTTTCCTCCAGGTTTGTCCTCAGCCTGTATGACTCTGGGCAGCTGCCCAGATGGGAATCCATATTCCCATCTGACAATGCGGTCTGATGTTGTCTGTCTTTCACTGAACTTATCTCCCTGTTTCCCTAGTTTCCAAACAGCTGCTTTTACACTTTAATTCTGCATGGTGGCTCTAAACGGAGTGTCCAGTTTTCTTTCCTCCTTTCGTCCAGAGGTCATGCCATCTTTTCAAAATCTCTGTTTTGAGAAATACGTTTCCAGTTGGGATTACCTATATTTTGCTATTGATTTAAGGCATATGGCAAATAAAATTGGGAAGTATATGTTAAATCTGTTACTATGTTAATGTAAACTCTAGAGATATATGTTTGGTCAAACCCTTGCCAAAAATTGCAAGATATGTAAGTGTGGATAAATAAGGAACCAGATAAAGACCTGTAAAACTGAGAAAGAGTTCAGTTCATAACATACAAAGCTGATGAGGAGGAGACACAAGCAGGTTCTTAAGGTGCTAAGCTGCCAACCGGCAAAAATCCTCATCATTTCACTGACTTCTTGTTTTCATAGAAGTTCAGAATCTTACCTGTGAGTTTATATCAAGACTGTTTTAAGCATTTTGGTTTACGTATTTTTCTGTTTCAGTTAACTTAGCCTAAATTAACTTTTTGTCTATTGTAAGTTCCTAGTTTTATACATAAGGTATGTGTACTTTACTCCTCACAGATCTATGAGTATTTTGAAACTCAGATA